CCCCCCCCCCCCCCCCCCCCCGGTGCGAGGTCCGTAGCCAAGCTCTCGTGACTCTCCTGCATTTGCTGATATAAAAGCCGACCTTTCAATGCTACCCCATTATCCCACATCATACCTCTTTGAAGCGATATCGACGGAAAGAATGCGTCAGGACACCGTCATAGTCTACATCGCCTGGTGCATCATCGCTCTTCAGGCCCTGAGCGCGGTCACCGCACTCCATTCCAACGTCAACGCGGCTCGTTCGCGTGAGTGGCATTATTACTCGGGTGTTACTGGGACGCTCACATTCACTTAAGCGGATGACTTGCCTGAGTCGGATATCGATTTTGGAGTTGATTCGCAGGGTTTTTGATGAGCGCAAAGCTATATGACGCTCTCAGGTGAGCTTCATGAAGGATTCTTGCGCGAGCATCGCGTTCTCAGTCGTATATAATCAGATTTATCATATTATACACGAAGACCATCTCGTGTACTTGATACGGGCAGTATCTTCCAGCGACCCCAGAATAAATAGCGTGAATATAGCATTGAAAGCATAAGATCGTATTGGATGGGCTATAAACTGCTTCATGAGTCGAAGCATACGAATGAACACCTGCGGATAGACGAACTATCCTGGCCTAGTAAAGATTGAACGTGTACCTGTGGTAATTGGTCTTGAACGACTGTATCATACGGGAGTTCAGTATCAATGCGCCTTGAGATGCGGGAAGAGAGAGACTTCGATACACTCATGCGCAAGCGATGTAACAACATTGAGAACGGCATCTCCGGCACGTATGGGTGCATGACCTCCATCTCGAGATGATTTGGGGTGAGAATGGTGAACCGAAGTGTGAGGGATCTCGTTTGGTGGCTCGTTTGCGTTGCGACGATACAGCGACAAAAACTTCATCTTAATCAACGTCTTTCGGGACAGCACGTACTTCAGAGATGAGAGCGTAGAGATAGCTGTATTCTCACTTCAAGAGAACCGGTACCGATGATAAGGAGGAGCCAGATAGACTGGTTCATTAAATGCAACTGTATCTTACGGTTTTGGGAAGATTGCCACTTCGTGAGCTAGTCGCATAGTCGCACACTCATCCAGAGGCAGCAGACAAACGGAAACATACGTCCTGATTGACTTTTTATCATCGTCGCGTCGCCCAGACCGTATGACCAGTGATATCATGATGCTTCGTAGGTTGGTAACCAAGTATGATGCCGTTGCTCACCTGTTACGTCTGAGCAACAAAATTCCTCAACTTCGTATCTCCACGGAAACAGCATGCCGAACTCACTTCCTTCTCGCCGTTAAGATATTGTAATAGAACGATTTCATTCTACTTGGCATAGAGCACACGCTTTGGATTTGATAGGAGCCTGTGCCTCAGATGTGTGAACGTCGAGATGCGAAGAACTGCGCGTGCGAACACACCAGAGATCTATGTTTTTTTTCAACGCATCCACGCTCCTTCGCCCAGCCTGTCATTCTGGATGCGCGCCTTGGCATAAGTGTGTGCTCGATGTTCTTGGACAACACTGAAAATTCAGCAACCAAAGAACGTGAGTAAAGATGATCATAGGTACCTAACGAAAATTGATCGTAACGTGCAGTTTAAGTACCCAGGCCTTTCTCGCTTGTAATCAGGGTGAGATTTCATTTTCCAAGCGATCCACTCATTCTATGGGCATCAGAACTTTTGCCGTATCGATGAAAGACGTTTACCCACTACGTATCAGTGTTTCACCACTGTACAGCAAACCCATTTTGCGGTGCACGGTTGTCGTTTCAGTTGGCTGTACCTTTCTGTACGCAAAATTCGTGCTCGCCTCTTTTCCTCCCGGAATACCCATATATATATAATTTATCGCGGCATCTCAAGGAGATATTTCTATTGATTGTTGTGAACTACAACACACACACATTAGCCCTTGCGCGAATTTCAAATGAAAGTTCGCCTATTTCATGAACGACGCAAGAACATCGTCGAATCACAACATACAAGAAACAGAAATCGAGTACATAGCTGTGCAGAACAAGGTATACATCACACCCGAGGTTAAACCCGTCCTTTCGCAAGAGTAAGTACTCTACAGAGTACCCTTCTCTGCGTTGATGACAAAGCTAGGGAGGGACTCCGAGGGGCCTAAGCCATTCTCGACGGTGTCCTCCATAGATCCATCGGCTGCTGGGTCTGACCAGTGCGTCGCAGCCTGCAATTCATGACCTCGTCTTCCATGGAACCGCAATGGCGTCATCGGCACGACCTTTGTCGAGTCGGAGGCGAACGTATCGCCGGTGGTCGTGACCATCTTCGCCGTATCTTTGGTCCACGCGCGTCCTTGGCATGTGCGCATGATAATCAGGAGGGGTGCAATGGACTAAGTCGCTCATCAGCATTGTATGCACGGACCGGACGAGCGGGATGCATACCTGCACCTGACCGAGGACCGGTAAGAAGATGTTCTGAGCTGGATCGTTTCTGGCGTAGGTGATTATGAATGCCAGTCCGACCGCGCAGTACAGAAACGCAGATTCGACGAGGATGGTGGAGATAGAAAGATAGGGACTGCGATGGTGAGGCCCCATCACTTTCCTCAGCTTGTACCGCATGTACAGCAGGCGCACGACGATCAAGGTCGTGAGTAGTAGTGTCGCTCCTATGGAGATGCACCAGTACGTCAGCGCGAACTTGACGCTTAACTGCTTCCAGATGTTGTCGCCAGGTTCTGCGATCTGCGACAGTAGAAGGCACGACATGACTGGAGAGGTCGCCTGTAAGCGGCTTCGTTCGTGAGGCTTTCCATACTCACCGACAGATACCGTGTAGAATAAGCCGGGAATGGCCGTTAGCCAGATGTTCGAGTTCCATATCAGATGGAATCGATACAGCTATAGAGTAGATTAGTGCGGGCATGCTTAAGCGTCAAACAACGAACCAATAGTCCATCCTGAAGCCATGTGTTGACGATGTAAACTCCGTAGCTCAGGACGTTGATCCATACACCATTCTGCTCGATGAAGTAGGCGTTCGGTCCGCCGGGATAGTCACGGTTGTCGACGAAGACCATCTCGTTGAACTTGATGTTTGCAGCATTTCCGAGCGAGCCCAGAGTAAATAGCATGAATATATAGGCGAGCATGCAATAAGACCGCCTCGGATGGGTTTTCAGCTGCTTCATGAGCAGGTCTAAGCTTATGAAGAACAGCGTGACATGAACGCCTGTGGATGGACTACCCATCAGCAGGGTCGACATGAAGCACAAAACGAGAACGGTTTACCATAACCTACGCCTCCGAGGACGGCACCATTGAGATTCTCCCTCTCCGAGAGGATATCCGCCTGCGTCTCGTTGGCCGGAGCCCACTTAGACGCCCTGACTGTCGACATAGCTCAACGGCTAAGTGGAAGCTTCGATGCCTAAGACCAGATGCCGAGTAGCTTAAGAACCTATTCAACTTACACAACGCTGTCCTCGCACACCCACCCTTTTGAAACTTACAGCTCCGGTGGCAATGGTTATCGACTACCGCTACGAGCGTTCGAAAAAGGCACCTGTTGATGTCGTGGATCCGCCGAATCGGGTTGATTTTGCGCTCCTTGAGTAAGTAGCGGCTGAAAAGAACTGGACCGGAGTTCCCTCTCTGGCAACCGAGAGGTTCGACACCTGTGAACAAGATGCTCAAGAATCTTGTACTCGTGAGTGCAAGTCTATGAATAGGGTGGTCGGAGATAGCTGAAATGCTGGCATGAAGTTATCGTGGCAGTCTCGCCGAGATAACGGAATGGCTGTCCAGCACGAGCTGCCTTTGTGGCAAACAATCGGTCGTTGTGGCGTCAGGTGACGCGTTCTCGCCGACCTGTTCGAAGAATATCACTGCGCACAAACCAAAAATATATAAGACTGCGATCGACACTCATCGTGATGTGGCATTAGGTGAGAGCGGGCACAATTGCTCTCAGCCTCGAATTCTGATACACAACATCGGACTGCTGGTCAGAAATAGATATCAGAGCTTCGATAGACTTCGAGCTTTAGTATTCGCTAACGGCTGTGAGAATGCAACACCCAGACTGGCCCATTCACAGACCGGATTCCGATGCTTTCAACTCGGCACACGGTCGCTTGTTATCCCCATTCGAGCGCGACACCTCCCCGATGATATGCTGTACAGTCTGGCCATACGGGCCCGGACTGCGGTCCATTCGGTACACCGATCTGGATGCACCAGCGTACTGGGACATTTTGTGGCTATCAATCAATGCCAACGAGTGAGAAGGCTAGCTGGCGTATATTCTCTACCGATGTTCGTGGGGCAGTCTACGGTCCGGCTGATGTGCCGATGCAGGATCCGCTTCCTACCACCATGAGTCTCGCGGGGTGTCAACGGCGTAGATTTCAACCCACCAAATTTCTTAAACCCATACGTGGAATTGTGCGATGTCAGTCACCTCGTGCACGCGCATTTTGTCACTGTTGCCTCCCGTGGCGTTCACGCCAGCTTGTTGATACCCGACCCTTCGGGAGTCGGAAACACCAAATTCGTCATCATGTTTGCGTTACACGGCTGCAGAAACTGCCAGAGTTTCGCATTACGAACTGACTTCGGATGGGTCTCTATACGAAAATCTATACCTCATGTAAAGGTCTTCATCGAAACATGATTTTCAGACAAAGTACAAACATAATCTAGATGGACAATACAGCTATATATGGCAGGTGACATGCCTTATATGGTCATATTAATCGTGCAAACTATGTCTGTACTTTATGTAGAAACATATCCGAAGTGAGTTCGTAATGCGAAACTCTGGCAGCGAGAGGACCATAGACCTAAGTAGACTCAGTTATTACTACATTGCATGTGTTTAAGATAATCTCCGCGTCAGGGCGGTCCGTCAGTCTTAGCTCACTGGAACCGCCGACTGCAGGTGTGCCACCCGCACAATATCGTGCGCGCGGCAACCGGCGTTCCGCTATACTATACCAGGCCATACCATAATTACCGGTTCGCAGGCTTCACGTCTCCCCAGGTCGTGGTCGATGACATTGGCGAATACAATGCGTCTTTGGCAACCAAACACAACATCACAAGCTTATGCCAACATACACACTCCGGACACCGTGGACGTTTCATCCCCCCGTCAACTACCCCAGGCGGCGGTGCATCGTCACGATGTCGCGTGTTGCAGAAGGAAAACACCTGTGGACCGCGACCCGTCAGGCTTACTACCTCGGAACGTAGTCGCTATCAACACACTCAGAGCTGGATGCGTACCTTTGTTCCCGGATGACCGCCGATTCTGCCAGAATTCGACGGCGCAGCTGCTAGTCCCCACGTCTCCCGCAGCGCAGGCGAATTCGAACGTCTGGAGCGTATCTGACGGACATTTGAATAGGCTGGTCCTAATCTCTTCGCCGATGGATATCTCGAGCGTAGCCAGAAGTTCCTGCCGCCTGGGCCTGTTACGGGCGGGACAGCGTTGAAGTCGATAGCGGAGTGATGGAGTTGAGTCTCCAAACCTCGATCAGGGCCCGCGATGGACGGACATGACTCGCGCCAGTGAAACCGGCGTGGAGGACTCGGAAATAGGAGGTACGTTCATCACGATCTG